TGTGTGTGTGTGTGTGTGTGTGTGTGGGGAGATGAGTCACCCGTCCTCCTCTGTGACAGCTGGTGTCTTCAGTTTGAACAATGGCCGTGCTGGAGTAGAAAACATGACAGTGTGTGTTATGGCGACATTGGCCACCGAATGTTTTATTTCAATCTGCACCCAAATTGCAGAGCTGCAGTGTATCTCAGTTCTCCAGCCCCTGAACCTCTGTTTTCTTCCTGTGACTTCTCATGAAACATGTTGTCTTTAAACCAGACGACACAGGTTTGAACCCTGATGAGATTTGGGAGGTCAAAGGTCGAGGCCACGATGTCCTCACAAAACACGTTGTTGGCCTCTTGAACATGAAATCTCAAGTCTGCATTTCTTTAGATTGTGATCGATCGTTGCTTGGACCCAAAGATGAACTGATTAGATTTCACGTGTCAAAGGTCAAACATCCCAGTGACCTCATTACTGTGAATGCAATATGTCAGGAACACCTGAAGGGACCAACATTGCATTGGTGGGCGGAGGCATAAAACTGCCGGGCAGTAATTCTAGTTTTTTAGAGACAAACATTAAAAATGATATTTAGATGCATTAGATGTGCATTCTAGTAGCGTTTGGCTAAGGCTGCCAAACCGCCTCTGCTTGTTGCCAGCGTTTAATTTCTCTCTCTCTAAATTCCATGAAAATCCTGTTGTGTGTGAAAATTTGAACAGCAGAGCGATAGAGGAGACTTTGGATGTATGTGTCAGTGTGGCTGGGAAACCCAAAGCTAGTTCCGGCTTTGAATGGTCGAGTCTGTTTAGAAGGCAGCCTCTGATGTCAGAACCCTCTCTGTGATTTATTTTTCCAATGCATGGTTTTAAAAACACTCTGTCCTTTGTGTGTGTGAGTCAGCCTTATAGATGCTTATTGAGTAGGTCTGAGCTGTTGGCTTAACACACACACACACACACACACACACACACACACACACACACACACACACACACACACACTCTCTCTGTAACAGTGAATACTGATTGGGCACACACACTTGAACACAGACCATTAGATTCAGCTCCTCTTTGACCTGAAAACCAGTGTAAAGAGAGTTGAGTCAGAGGTGAAGACTTTGTCAGTAGCCTTGAGTCTGTTAAAAGTTAGAGGTTGTGAATGCACAAGAGACAGTGCTGCGTAAGAAGGAAGAGGAGATGGAAGTGAGGCGATGCGCCATTAGATGAGTCAGAGCTGGAAAGGTTCTTCCACACATACGATTCAAAAATGAATTCTGCATTTAAAGGATTGTTTTGCTATAACACAGCATGAGAACATGTCCAGTATTTTTAGCAGTACTAGATTTAATATTTATTCCTGAACCTAACCTGACAAAGAAAAGTATTATTTCTGCAGATTCATTCATAGTGAGACAAAATGACATGAACATCAGGTCATCGATAGTAAAAGTCTGCCAGAAAACTAAGAATATGATTAAGGAGATCAATTAGAGCTGGCTTCAGTCCAGATTTAATTGAATCACATGGTACAAATCTGCTGTAAAAAATAAAAATGCTCTTTCGAAGATTTTGCAGCAATGATAAGCATTATCTTATGATGGAACTAAAGGCAGGGTTCTCAGTAGAGCCCAACTAATATAGAATTTTAGGGCCAAAGCCGATACTGATATCGAAGAGGGAAAATGGAGACGGAAATAATTTCTAAGATGTCATTATCAAACCCTTATGACAAAGAAATGTAATTTAGGCTTGATATATTTTACACTTTACCCACAATCTTAATTATTAACTACAAATAAAAACAAAAAAGAAATACAACAAAATGTAGAGCTTGAATGAGGAAGATAACATAAATGTAGGTATTGTTTACATTGTTTATTCTGTAAAATACAAGTTTCTAAACATAAACACTGGTACCAATGTCTGTGAAAGGCTCATATCGGCCTATTTTATTGGCCAAACAGTGAATCAGTCAGGCTCCAATTCTCAGTAAAGAAACATTCTATCTGATCTCTGAATACATTTCATACTATGAGTTCATGTAGCTATGTAACACAAGAGTAAGGTTTGCATTACGTGGGGAATCTTACATTATCTAATGCCTGTTGTTATTTTTTATTTTCCCCTCCCTCTAATTTAGAGCATGTGCATTAGATTACTGAGATAACGTGGTTAAAGTAATTTCGCTGTCCTGTTGTGTATGCTCTGGCAATTGGCTGTCCAATACAGACGGACACACAGTCAGACAGGCAGACGCACAGAGAGTTGGGCTGAATGTTTATGACTATATAGAGATTCCAACTATTATGATGTTTTAGCAAATACAAACCAAAACAGATATTAGTTTCAGGAACTGGAATTGCTCGAATTGTCCCACAGACGTCTCAAAGACGTTGTCCTCTGAGTGTGTGCAGGAGGAAGATTCAGGTTTACTGCTGGTCTTGTGTGGTCTGTCACACAGTTTTTTATGAATCATGTCAGTGGTTTTGGGGAAAAGTGCTGTTTGCTCGCTGTTGAGCGTCTGACTGCTTCAGAAATCATGTGATCGGGGAGGGAAGCTCACATACGTGATAGACACCAGGAATGGCCAGTCATCTGTCACAGGGTGAGGAACCTCAGCGGAACGTCAGGGAGCGCTGCTCATCTCTGCAGACACAATGGGACGGTTTCATCCAGCAGCGAGTTCTGGAGCTCAGCGCTCAATCAGTTAGTGTGTGGCCTTGTGGTGCATGTGGCTGGAATCATCCAGAAACCAGCAGACTCACAGCATGAGCTAGAGGCTCAATACTGAGACAAGATGAACCGGGAGTTGGAGTATATGTTTCTTGAAGTAAGTTTGGAATTTCCTATCTCGTTCCTTCACTGACTAACTTAGTATATGTAGCAGATACAGGATGTGATTTGTGAAACTGTCACAAATCTGGTCGAGTGGTCTGGAAGTTTTGTTTCTGAGTTTGGTGCAGCGTCTCTCTAATGAGGGAACATTGAGGTCCCGGTCATGACACACCCTTCGCCAGGATTCGTCTGTTATGACACTGAAATCACTTTAATCTGAACAACAACTAAATCTTTGTATCACTTTGGCAAAATGCAATCAGTACATAACGTATCACACCGGTACATGTAGATACAGGGTGGTACATTTGTGTTGTAGGGGCTTATGCTTGTTCATTAGCTTTTATAATTTCTATCATCTGGTTTGCTGTTGGTCTCTGATCAAATGATCCAATCCTGAGATCAAACATTTTGTGTATTTGTAGTCTATGGCCTTTTCTTGAGGATGTATGGAGCTTTAACCATGCTGGTGTAAAAAGAAAGAGAAAAGATAAATATGAAAGATGTGCAAATGAGGTGAAATGCATAATACCACAAATCTCTGAAACTGTTTAAAGAGACATCACAGGTTTGTTATCTGGAACAAACTCTAGTGAAGAGAACCTGCATTTTACCAACATGTCAACAGTTCAGTGAGGTGGTGATCCCAAACCCGCAGAAGTGAAACAAAGCATCGCACCACACACAGCGATTTCTTTAGTGTTTATCTCTTCATGATTGCAGAAAAGCTTTGTTAGAAAATCACAGCAAAGTGTGAAACAGGGTCAAACACTTGATTTAGTTTGAACCTATCTGAGTTTGTTGAATTGACACAGAGCTTACTGTCTCTGCACCACACCCTCAGCACTCATTGAATAAAAAATGAATAGTATATCATATTTTATTAATGCAGCAGGTTAGAGAGTTCCTTCTACATTTTAAAGTTTACTTGTCTGAGAATCTTTTCACATCCATCAAAGTATTGTTGCTAAAATATCCCTAAGTGAATTGGAAACAAATCAGATAGAATCTGAAAACAAATGGGATTTGAAAGTGAATTAAGACGTTGTGAAACAGAATTGAATCCTCCTGTGTCTGATATCAGAATTATTGTCTGCAATAAACAAACTCAGCTGTTTGCTGACACATGCCTCCATTCTGCCACTCTGACGTAACCTGCACAAGTGAAGGTATCGGCTCTGGCTAAACTAATGTGATTAGGTCCTAGGCAGCATCATAGCTTCTTAGTAAGAGACTCTGATCTCTGGCAATCACTGGCACACTACT